ATATATATTTTTGGTATTGGAATATAATTAGGCTAAGTTCTGGTCTTAAGTTCCGGCGGATATTTTTTCCCATAAATGTAGGTATTGTTCAACGGATTTATCAAAAATTGTCAAAATAAGATATTTCATAGATGCATTTACCGAAAAATCAAGTTTTTTGGACATATGTCCTTGTGAAGATGGCCGCTTAGGGCATATGCGTAGACTCACCGCAAACATGAAAACCCAGTGCCGAGAAAAGTAAACGTCCACAACAATACGTAATATGTCTGAGGTAAGTTATACAACTTTATGACATAAGCTGCCTCTCTAATAAGCACTTTCATTGCATATTCAGCTGACAACTCTTTGTGTGAATTATTTTTATCCAAAGCGAAGTCAAAGAAATAATGGGGAATTTTGACCGGTTTTCTGATTTTCTTGAAAATACATAAGGGGCAAAAGTTAGGCTGGAAACGAGAAATCTCACTTTCCTCTTCATATGGGAACGTTTTTCACTACATCTGATTACTAACACGTCCTGTTCTAAGATTGAAAATACGCCAATGTTGAGGGACAGTTGATTGCGAGCCGATAAAATCATCGCCTTTCCTAACTTATCTCGTTTTTTTATGTTTCTGCGTCCCCGTACGCCCTCTGTGTTTCTTTTTGTCTGCAGCACTTTAGTTGGCGTTGGCGTCTGCTGAAATCGTGTACTTTTTTGCACGCATCTTTGCCGACACCAGTCCACTGTTTCTACGCCAAATTATCCGGTTCATCTAGTGTCACCTAATTGGCTAAAAAATCAAGGTCACTTGCGATAAGAACATGACACTATGTAACCTGGTTGTGTGCTGCTGCTAAGATTGGTGAATGTGCTCCAGGCTCCTAACTGAACCGTACCTTCTTCCCTACCTCGATGGGAGTTTAACTCTTTCGATTTCTCGGTCTTCGATCAACCTGTGAATGTTTGTTTTGAATCTTGCGTAGCACAGGCATGTTGCTTAACCCCTTGGTGTATTTTGGCTAACTGGTCTTCCTCCATCAAGACTCATTGCTAAGCCGACAGTGAGTTAGGTTTGCAGCTGTTTTGATCATGCATCTCACCATTCAAATGGCGACCAGCCACTCCAAGACGTTGACCTGTGGTCGCAAGGCCAATAAATAAAATGCCATCTCAGATGAAGGAAAGTGAGGGCGTGCTGATAATCAGTAGAAACCAAATAAGAAGTCTATGCGTTCGATTTTCTTGTCCCAAACCACCTATAAGCGTTGG